CCCGGTTCGACCCGTAAACCCACTGCAGCTTTTTGGGGCTGCACCCCATAGCATGATACCACCACTACCGATTCCGGTGAGATTTTATGACGGCAAATGAAGAGTATTTTATGGATTATTCTGACAATTAATTAATTAATCAGATACAACCTGCAGAACCAGGTCAGAACCTTCTGGGGTTCTGGTTCCTTTGTATCATCTGGAACCAGCCGACCCGTTCACCTGCAACCTCTGAACTCAGGACATTTCCTCCAATCAGATGCAGCAGTCTGGACTTTTCTCTTCTTCAGATTGTTCTCTATAAACCTCAGAGGTTGTGAGTTACAATCTGGTACCAGAACCTGCTGGTACCAGCAGGTTCATTCATCATGGGTCCTCCTCATCCTCACCGCTGATGCACATTAGCATGCTGCATGCTAACATGCTAACATACGCAGCGCAAAGACAAATCATCCTCAGTTCTCCTCCTACCTGTGGCGCAGAGGGCGATGAAGGTCTGGACGTGTTTCCGGATCAGAACCAACTTGTCGTCGGCCAGCGGCAGCCTCCGCACGATGTGCTCGATGAAATCGTTTGGTGTCACCGCCGCCAAGTTCCACTTCAACTTCCCCAAAACCACCAGCTCCCATTCCTGCAGAGAGAGGAACGACGATCAGAACGCTGCCGAACCCAGAGCAGGACGGACCTGCATGCGTGTGTGTGTGTGTGTGTAAGCTGCTTTCATTGTTCCTTTCACTTCCTGAAGGAGGTGACTCATGAGGACTTGGTGAGTAATCTGAAGGATTAAATCTTGGTTTGTCTCTGCAGCGCCGCAGCCTTGTGACTGTAGCTGGTTTCAAACCGCATGGACTGAGTCATGCGACGATTCTATGCGACTGCAGCCAACCTGCAGCCGCCCGGCGCCTCAGCTGAGGAAACCTTAAGGGAAGTAGCAAAGTAATTCCTCTAGAGAATCTGAGCTTTCAGAAATCCTTCCTCTGCATGGCAGATGGAAAATGCAGCATCTGCAACATCTGCAGCATCTGCAGCAGCCTTGCAACACAGACTGGATGCTGACAGAGTGGCAGCAGCCAGCAGGCAGCCACTTCCTTCTGCTTCTGCCTTCCTCTGGTCACACCTTCTGTGCAACATTCTGGTTCCTTTACAAGAAATAGTTACTAAAGACAAGCGACGCAGCAGCAGCGACGCAGCAGCGATCACATGGCCTGAGCAGCTGATCTCTGCTTCCTGTGTGAGCATGGAAGCCAAACTGCTGCCTTATACAGAAACAGAAGCAGTTCAAGGACTCGGCGCTGCTGCTGGAAACCAGACAACCAGAAACTTTCTGCATTTCTCTGCTCAGTTCAACACAAACCAGCGACAGAACCAAAATCAGCTGGCAGGAAGTAACCATGGAGACGGGCTCAGCAGGCAGAACCAGAACCTGATGCAGCCGCAGAGCCAGCAGATGAACGACTCATTAAAGACAGAAATATGAAAACAGAAGCTGATGGGGACTATAAGCTCTGTGTGTGTGTGTGTGTGTGTGTGTGTGTGTGTGTGTGTGTGTCCCTCTGTCCCATTTTGGCTGCAGCTCAGCTGACCCCGTTGATCTGTGTAAATATCTGCCGCCAGGTGGCGGTAGAGACCGCGTCACTTCCTGCTCCGTACAGTAGCAGCTGGAGGCTCTACAGTAGAAACAGCCGCTGCAAAAATTCACTGCGGAACTTCGGCGTTTTATGCGCATCAGATGGAGAAACGCGCAGATTATTAGCACATTATTATTAGCACATTATTAAAATGTCCAAAGCAGTTGAGTATGACGTAAGCAGAGGAAGATTAGAGGTGATGTGCAGCAGCTGCAGCTCACCAGCAGCTCCTGCGGCCTGATGGAGTTATCTGTGTAGATGCAGAGCTTCTCTGCCGTTAATGGCCGCGTCTCCTTCAGCTTGGAGGCCAGGAACATGCAGACTGCGCCCAGCAGCTGCAGGTTGCATTTCTTGATCGGCACCATCGCTAAAAATCTGTCCAGGTAGTTCATGGCCAGAGGAAAAACTTCTTCCTCGCACTTCTGCTCCTCGCAGACCTGAAGAAGAAAACATGCAGCGTGATGAGCTTCTAGTTCTCACATATATTAAACGCTTATATCAAAACCAAATCAGAGATTCATCACATGAAGACAGAATATAATTTCAGTGACACACAGCTGGGGCCCGGCCAAGAATCTGGCCCAACCCAAACCGGTTGCGACATCACGGATTAATTCCAAATCAATTTCCTTACAAAGCAGCAGAAAGTGTCGGATCCATACAGTCAACGGAACCACATTCCAGCAATTCATTCAGCAACAAATGAATTCAAGTCGCAAAGAGCCGAGCCAAAAAAACTCCCCGACAGCGCAGCACACGGAAACGGGCTTTTTCCTCAGTCGTCATATTTTCATAAAATATTTAAAAATACAAATAAATTATCCGGACTCCTTTTCTTCACGCGATAATCTTCTGGGGGGGTTTCCACGCCAGAGCCGACCATTCCGATCCGGATCCGGATCTGATAAATGTGATTAAAACGTCAAAATCAGAAGCGAGTCACGACTGGCAGCTCCGAAGTGCGCCACCCCGGAGCCAATTTAATTATTTCAAAAATTAATTAAAAATCCCCAGCAGGTCGCATCGTGACCATATTCACATGAAAATAAAGCTCCAAGGCTCGGCTTAGTTTCCACGCAGATGTTGGTCATAAATATGGAAACATTTTCCACGAATCCAACTTGATTCCTGACAAAGCGCCGCAGAGCCGCCAGGGCCCTCGCCTCTTCCGACATTTTAAACAGAAAACCCGAAAGTCTGCGCCGCTTTCCGGGCTCCAGTCTGGACCCGACGGACACCTGAGCGTCTCCGCTGCCAGAACCGAACCGGGCCGGCCGCTGTTATCCCGCCGTGGTTCTGGAAGCGAGCTTTAAAAGCAGCAGGCGCTCCCCTGAAAAGCAACATGGCGATGATAGCAGCGGCGGCAGCAGCAGCAGTGCTACGTGTGCATGGAAACATTCATGTCATCTGAAATAAAAGCAACATCTCAGGAATCTCCCAGAGTCCCGGGCAAACAGCGGCCGGGGGATACGGGCTCTCCGGACCAGGACCCGGTTCGGCAGGCGGCGGTCCGGATGGTCGGACTGGAAAATGGACCGACATGTTGGGTCAACATGAGGAACCGAGTGTCGGAACAACGAGCAGCTTCAGAAACCTCAACACGGCCCAGAAGGTTCGAGGCGGCAGCGAGCAGCAGCTTTTGAGAAGAGCACGGAAATAAGAGCCGAACCGAACCGAGCCAGAGCTGGGTCGGTACCTCCAACATCCAAGTAGCGACCATCCTCCTCATGAAGGGCTGAATGTCTTTCTGGACGCCTTTGAAATAAGAATACTGCGGCAGGAATCTCTCCTCGATGGTCAGCAGCCTCTGCAGAACTCTGTCATCGCGCAGGAGGTTCGGGTCCGGACGGGCTCGTATGCTGGTGTCCATTTCGAGGCAGAGCAGCTCCATGGTGTTGGGGCGGAAGGAGGGTGGGGGATCTTCTAGCCGAACTTCTTCAAATAAAGTGTAGAGTGTTTGTGAGTCTGAGGGAAACGCGTCGTCCCGCCGCGTCGCGCCGCTCCGATCCGCACAAACTTTTTCCTCTCTCTCCTCTGCGCCTCTAGCTCATCCGCCGAGCGCACAAGCCTGCCCTGCGTGCGCCACTGACGCAATGATTCCGCCTGCCTGCGTGAAGCAGATGCAACAACGTCCTGTTGTCCCTCTTTCTGCCCGTCCTGCTGCGCAAAACCGCAAACGCTGCGCAAAAACAATCTTAACGTCTATCTCCCAAAGTCAGCCTGATCATTTAGAAAAGTTAATACAACATAAAGATTCATGCCTAAAGTCAGATTTTAAAGGTTGAATGCTTTAATTTAATAAAATAGTTTGCTGTGACAGCAGAACCGAACTTTGCTTCGTGAGAATCCGAATCAGGCTGGAAGGTTTTTGTTCTTCAGCAGAACTTTCTGCTTCATGCGTGTTAAACTGAGATGCATGCAAGAGCGCGATGAGAGGACACAACCACACACACACACACACACACACACACACACACACACACACACACACACACACACGGACACATGGTCTTACGTGCTGCTTTTTTTATAGAAGCCACCAACAACTTGTGGTTTATCAGATAGCTTTCTAGGAAATTTAAACAGCGTTGAATTTTTTTCGTTCTTTTGGCTGCATTATCTCCTCCTGCAGACAGATAACACAGAAAAGGTTCGGTTCTGCTCCCTCTGAGGCTCACAGAACCGGTTCCTGCTCCAAACCAAACTATTATTTCTCACTTTGTCACTTTGAGAGACAAGCTGGTGGAAAACTGATGATTAAAACCAATAAGTGTCAGAATGACTGAGCGGCTCTTCTTTGAGATGCTGATCCGTCCTTTCTGACCCAATTTCAGGAGCCTGAACGCGGCGTGAGGGACGGAGCAGAGCCGCTCACCTCCATCCATCCAGGCTGCTCGGGATGCGGGAGCAACCAGGGGAAATGTCTCTTTAAACTTTTTCTTCGAAGCCGAGTCAAGTTTTCTTCTTCTCCTCCCAGTGAAGCTGTTAGCTTAGCCAATAGCTCTGCGGCTCTGCGCCGACGCGCTGCGATTGTTACTGGGCAGACTTCATCTTTACCTCTCTCTCTCTCTCTCCTCCCTCACGCCGCTGCTGCGGTCATCTATCAGTCTGATCTCCCCACTGATTGACTGAATGGGGGGGGGGGGGTCACGCTAAACTGAGACAGAACCGAACCTTTCATCCTAAAAATAAAGCTAACATGAAACTCTCCTGAACTGATCTGTTTGATTTCCATCTTTACAAAATAAACGATCAGAAAATCTATTTTTATTTTTTTTTATTCTTAAAGACAAAAACCTTTAAAGACTTTAACAGAAAAAAGTGGAAATAAAAGTTTTAGTTTAGAAGCAGACGGGACTCCAGAAAACTCTCCAGCTGCGGCTCCCAGCAGGAGGTCGGTTCCGGTTCCCTTCATTTCACCAGTAAAGAAACAATAAAACCGTTAATAAATGGGAAAAATTATTCTACCTAAAAACCCATAAAAATATAAATTTATGGACAAATTCCCTCCGGGCTGCTCTCTCAAATTATTCAAATTCCACATTAAACCGTTTCTCCTTGAGTTGGACCCGAGGTTCGGTTCTTCTCCTTCCGGCCCGGTTCCGACAGTTTCTGTCAGCAGCGCTCTGCTCCCCGGAAGTGTTCAAACATCACATCCGAATTAAAGTCGGAACACATCCTGCCTCTGAGGAACCAGAGCGAGTCCCGGGACGGAACCGGGTCCGGAACCGATCAGCAGAAACCCGAAGTTTAACGTCTCAGTCGGAATCATCAAAAACTCTCCATTTATGGACCGATATTAAATTCGGAACCTTAATAATTAAACATTTATCCGTTTCAGACATTTATAATGGATTTTTCAAAAATCAAATAATTAAATGAAAAGCAGGAAAATCCGCTTCAGGTCCAAATAAAGTAACAGCTGGACTTTCTGCTGAATGACTCATCATCATCATCATCATCATCATCATCATCATCATCATCATCATCATCATCATCATCATCATCATCAGCGGCGGCCGGAGGGGAATTTGTTGCAGAGATGAAAGCAGCTGATATGAAGGAAACACTTTGTTTTAATAAATAATTTGTTCGTAAAAGTATAAAAATCCCTGAAAAAATTCATTTCTAAAATTTAGATTTTTTAAAATATCTGCAGTTTAATAAACAGACAAGGAAATTAGATCGAAGAAATTAATCACGAATTTATAGTAAATCAAAAACATTAGAATGAATCCATGATGATGTGTGAATTTGGCTGGAAGAGGAGGAACTGCTGCATTCAAAGGTGAATTTCTGCTTTTTATTTTTACAATAAACTATAAATTAAATTCTGTTCTTGAAGAAACTAAAATATAGATGAATTTGTTTCAGCAGATTAAATCCGTCAGACTAGAGAATGTCTGAAAACAACAAAAGAAAGGCAAAAAAATAATTTACTGATATTATCTGCTTCTTTATCTTAATAATAAAACAATCAGATAATTACAGGAATTTGGTGCAAGGCATTAAAATAATAAAATATATTAATTAATTTGGTGTACTTATCAAATGATCTGATTTAAATATTTATTTCATATTTGAATAATTTTTTTTATTGTTTTTGTTAAATAATTGATCAAAAACATCTTTACCTTCAGTTTAATGTTTTACAAAATAACATAAAAAATTAAAGACCTTATTTTCAAAATTATTTCTTTAAAATCTCATCAAAATGTCATTTGCATCCTGATAGATGCAAAATTAATTTCAAAAAGCAGCAGATTGAAAATAACAATTTTAACTTGTTTTTATTTGTGCCTTTTATTATTACAAACATTTTAAAGCATTAAAACAATAAAATGACATAAAAAGAAAAACATTTAAATCTGAATGATCCATCTGAACGATGAATTACTGCAGATTGAAGATAAAACCTCAGAAAATTCTAATAAAACTGAAAAAAATGTTTTTCTCCACAAAAACGACGTTTATCCACCAGGTGAGAATATTTGCTTAAGCTGCCACAGTTCCTCCAATTTGGTGTTTTTCTTTCTGGTTGAATAGTTGCAGATGTGTGTGTGTGTGTGTGTGTGTGTGTGTGTGTGTGTGTGCCAAACAATAGCAACACACTGCAGCCAGTCATCCATGATGAGAAAACACCAGACTTGATGCAAAGTGTTGAGCTTCGGTCCGCGGCTCGGTGAAAAACAAAAACCAGCCAGGAGGAAGAAGAGACGAGTTTCTCCTTAAATGAAACGGAAATGATGGGAAAATCTCAAAGTGCTGATAACCCTCCTCTGTTTTTCCTCCTCCTGTCGCCTCGTGCATTCCTGCGGCTTTGGTTTCCATGGCAACGCATCCAGGATCTCCAGACACAGACATCTGCCTCCCAAATTCCTGCTGCCGTCACATCAGCGGCTGGAGGAGGAAGAGGAGCGGCCGGAGGAGGAAGAGGAGCAGCCGGAGGAGGAAGAGGAACAGCCGGAGGAGGAAGAGGAGCGGCCGGAGGAGGAAGAGGAGCAGCCGGAGGAGGAAGAGGAGCAGCCGGAGGAGGAAGAGGAGCGGCCGGAGGAGGAAGAGGAGCGGCCGGAGGAGGAAGAGGAGCAGCCGGAGGAGGAAGAGGAGCAGCCGGAGGAGGAATGGCTCGGCTCTGATGAGGTTCGCTCCTCCTGGATGATTTTCATCTGAAGCTTCAGATGGATCTCCTGAATCATCTAATCTGCATTTATGGAGGAAATAATCTCCAATCTGCTCCAGAGTCAGAATATCCAATAATCTGCTTATGTAAAATACATGAAATATGTTTGTAATAAATTATTGTTTTTTCTGTAACCTGAAGGTGTCAATCAATCGAAGCAGAAAACGTTGGACTTCCTCCTTTCAGGAGGATTTAGCAAATCGTCTGAAAGGATTCGGATCAGATCTGAGGCTCCAGCAGCAAAAGCAAAGGAGGAGGATTAGCAGAGCTGCTAACAGCTGATGATGTCATCGTGTTTCTGCTGCCTGGGTGCTGAGCTGTGTGTTATCAATTGTCCTACTGCAAGTCTTCAGTCAGAGGCATGTTCTGATTGGTTGCTACTGGAGCTCCTCCTGGCCCACAGCATCACACCACTCTAACGCTTCTCCTTTACCTTTACCTCCATTTTATTCTTTATTTCACTCAATAATAAATATGAATAGTTCATCAAATCATGAATGACAAGCAGAAAGATTCAGAAGACGATTATATTTCCAACATCAGCTTATTCAAAGACATATCGCTTCATAGCTATGATTTTAAACTTTCTGTAGAGTGCAGAAAGAGACTCGATCTGAAGATGGTTCCATAAACCTTTAACTGAAGTTCATCTTTTATTCACCGACGTTCATACTGCAGGTTTGTGTCATTAATCTGTGGATCACATGGAGGCGGATCTGAGTATCATTGTGAATCTGCCTCCTGCTCCACAGCGAAGCCTCTGCAGGATTTTCCCATGTCAGTCTCCCAGCAGCTGCATCAGTGTTGCAGCCGCCGGCTCCCCCAGAACAAAGGCCTTGTTAATCCCACTCAGACCTTGAAACGCTCAGAATGCAAGGACTCAGCGCAGGAAAAAAAACTCTCCAGAATTGTGTCTGTTGGTGCGTCGGGAGGATCAACATCCTGAGGACTTCCACCTGGGATCACAACCAGTTCAGACCAAAACATGCCGAGCCTGAGGTCAGAGAGATCCGCCGCTTATCAGCAGAACGCGCCGCCACGAACCACCGCAGGCTGCTGGGAAAACTCCTCAACGCAGCGATGCAGAGTCACAGCCGACTGGAGGAGGAGAACTGGGACTGGGACAGATTCCACTGAGACTCAGACCAGGAAGCAGAACTGAGGATTCAAACTGCTGACATGATGTCAGCAGAACATCAGCGGATCTGCTGACATCACAGCTGACATCACAGGTCCAGATTCTGACTGATCAGTTATGAAGGTGAAACAAACAAACTGAACCAACCAGTGAACGGTTCCCCCTCCCCAGCAGTTCTGGTTCCTGGTACCGGGTCTTTAACATCAGGGTTCTGACCCACATCGGACAGTTTTCCACCATGAACTACTCTGATGAATTTATGATTCCTCTACCATAATGAGCAGAGCTGCAGCTGCATCGTGAAGATGTTAAACATCTAGCAAAAGCTGCTAAAAGCTGCTAGCTGGTGCCAACTG